CCCTACTACACCAAAACAATAGTACTGTACAAAGATATATTACATCGAAACCACAACAAGAAAACTACATAGCAACATAAAGATGCCGCTATGTAGTTTTCTTAGCATCAGGGAGATACGTAACAACAGACATACCACGGAGCTAGCTAAAACAGTACTGTATTAGAACATAATTTTGTACCAGCTTGGAATGAAACGGCTCTCTTAGTGCGATGAATGGACCGCAAAAACATTTTTATCTGGGAGTCTTTGTTCATCTAAAAAACGTGCTCTACAACAAACCCACATTGGAGCTCCCGAGGTTATGGGTCACTCTGTTCGAATCCTTAAAGAACTAATTTCTAACAAAAAAATACCCCGCTACTTCTTGAATATAATACATTTCGCTAAGATAAAGTAACGAAATGAATTACATTTTGCATAATCTACATTCTGTACAATTGACTGTATATGCGGCAACCAATTTGTCCTTATGTTCGAAAAACAGTTCCAAGAACTTCCAAATTTCGTAATGTTGTCCGAATTGGAATGAGTTAACATTAGAGTTTAAAATTTTAATGCCAAAGGATACCATAATATATCGGGCTGTTTATCGGCTACATCATTAATAAAATTTTAAATAATTTGTTACTAGAAGTAGACATTAGATGCCATCTTTTATTAAGTTTAATAATTATAATAAATTAATATTTAATAAATAATATAGAATATTCTAAAAGAAAAGAATCAGCCCGAAGCGGAACTCGAACCCGAAACTCCTACTTACTGTGCAGATACGTTGCCAGTTACTCTACGTTACTCACGGCGCCGACTGGGGACGACGCTTAATGTAATCTTAGATATAACCGTGGATAGTTATATCTAAGGTTAAATATGTCTGGAAATAAAGAATGGCTCGGAGTTCCGGATAGCTCATCTGCACAGTAAACAGGAGTTTCGTATTCGACTTCCGCTCTAGGCCGATTTTTTTCTTCCAGAATATTCTATATTATTTATTAAATATTAATTTTAATAAGAGATGGCGCCTAACATCTACCTCTAGCAGAGACAATAGATATACTTGTATCTCGGCTCCCAAAAGCTATATTGCTACGAAAGTGGAGTAATAAATATTTCTGCCACTTCGAGCGCTGTAATTGCTTTGCGGCGAAAGTTTACAACAAGAGTCAGCTATAAACATTTGAAATTCTTTTTAAAGATGAAATTTTTCTCGTTTCTCGTCTTTTGTCTTTTTAAAAGACTGCTGTATTTGTAAATACTATTACAATTCGATTTTGAACATTATTTATGAATGAGCATTCTATTAGAGACATTTCTATAAGTAATTCTATTAATTGTCACTTTCATTTGATTTTAGACTTTAAATTGATTAAACAGTTTATTTTTCTTATAATTTGTGTTTATTTTTAAATATTTTTGGGAGTTTTCGTTAAGAGTAAGAAAAGGTAGTCAATACATTATTTAATATATATTATTCATATGGGATACCCTCAGTGAATTCTTTCTGAGTCAGGAAGAAAAGAGGTTTATGAGAGTTAAATTTAATTATGGTTATTTATAGAAATGTTAAGACAAGCATTGGGATAGGTTAAAATGTTACAAAAAAAGGATTCAGAGTGGATTTTGGAGTGTTTCAATGTTTCATTTTAAGCCAATATTTAAAAAAAATTAATATTAGGTGAATTATTGCAGGATGCAGTGACAAAGGAGCTACGGTATATATTATTTACAATTAATATAGTGTTTATTAATGCGATAGTAATTAAAGTTGAGCCAATAAAGGTTAGGAACATATTAGAGAGAGGAGGATTTTTTTAATGCTCTTTCCGCCCTGTGGGCACTAAGAGGGCCTCTGATAGCAGGCCCATTATGGGTTCGGCCAGGCTCACAATGCCTGGCGAACCCATAATGGCTCACATAATCACAGGCTCACAGGCTCACAGGCGACCGGGTGGTGAGGGACGGGGCCCGACATATCCGAACGGACCCCCTTGAAAAATACCTGGAGGGAGAAGAGGATTAAAAGTTATTAAGTATAAGAAATTATATGGACAGTTCTTGAAATCAGACTGAACCGTTAAAGGAAAGAGAAGGAAATAGACTTCAGGATAAGTCTAAACAAATGGAAATTTCAATTTTCATATGAGTTGGAGGTTGACAAATAGAATAAATATAAGATGGCAAAAACTCAAACAGTATTATTAGATATTGACAGTGATAGCAACGATACAGAGTCTATGTTACTTGATAGTTTAATCATATAGACCTATATATAATTTGATTCAGTAATAATAAACAGTATTTGGGATGTCATACACTTTGTATATTTGACACATGAAATTGCATTTCTTATGACATTCACATTGTGTTTATATATTTTAGTAGTTTATAAGATATTCTGGACCATTAAAACTAGAATATGAATGAAGATTTATTGATAGCCTACTCTGACATCTTTTCTTGTTTATATGTAGGTCTATATATATCTTATAAACTACTAAAATATGTAAACACAATGTGAATGTCATAAGAAATGCATTTTCATGTGTCAAATATACAAAGTGTATGACATCCCAAATACTGTTTGTTATTACTGAATCAAATAAAATTGTGTACTTTATATATCATTAAAATTAATAAATTATTTGAAAAAATAAAGTTTGTCTTTATCTGAATTAAATTTCTGTGGCTGATTAAATGCATTAGAGGATAAGCTACGGTTTTTTCTATTGTCAGATATGCAATGAAATACAATGTAGAAAAATGCAAAGGTACCTATTTATTAAACACATACTGTATACAGAAAAAGAAAATTATGTACAAAACTAGAGTACAAAATAAGTAGCAAAATAACAGTTTTAAATTAAGATATTTAAAAACTTAACTCAATTTAAAACTGTAAATAAAAATATTGAGATATTATATTGAAAACTTTTATTTTAAATTTAATTTTATCAAATCTGAAAAGTGGTTGATAATAATAGTTGATATGCTGGTATTCTGCAAACAATTTTAAATGTTCTGGAACTCTAACTGACAAATATAACGGACAATTGGAAAAATTCGAAGGATAAACATCCTGTGTTAGTTGTCATTTTCCACGGAGAATCCCTCAAATATATACACTTAATTTTTAATCAGAAATATTTTATCAAAATGCAAATCACATATTTTCAATTTTCTTCTAAGTTGTAAATCTTTTCCAGGAGTTATACGTTTCCACATGTCTAACTGGTTCGGAATGGTGTAAAAAAAATGCCACTTATCAGCAGATATGCAGTAGCCACACTTACACCCAGTCACAGAACATTTACTCAGCATGCTGTTTTTCTTTTTCTTGTAGAAAATGTTTGAAAATGGCCAAACTATCTACTAACCAAATGGATAAACAAACTTCTTCACGCCGCAAAGTGACTCGAGCGCCAGCTATCGGCAACCTGACACATTAACTCCAATCTATTATATATATATATATATATATAACTATATCTATAGACCAATATATCTATCGACTCTAGTAACAAATGACTTAAAATTTGATTAATGATGTAGTTGATAAATAGCTCGAGGCATTACGTTTAGCATTAACTAATAATGTGAAGTATTGAGATGTTTATATATGATTATAATTTTATACTAACATTCTAGCATATGTTCTTTCGTTTTTCGTCTGAGGAAGACATTTTTGGAAATGTCGAAAGTGTTTGTGTGAGCGTTTCGTTTCATTATTAAACACAGGTAACGCCAAAAGGAGTGTTTTCAGTACTATTTATTAGATTATTCATTTCTTTATTTCGTTTTCGTATTTTCATTTTAATTTTATTTTTCTTATTTATTCGTATTTATCTTTATTTAATCAAATTTATTCAAATTTTTTGCGTTTTTCGTATCTTACATTTATTTACTTAGGCCTATATTTATTTCTGCATTTGAAAATTTAAAAAATTTTTAAGAATATTAGTTTTGCATTATCATCTGGATTTGAAAATGTTCTATAATTAGGCTGAAAATGTCTGTGTATCTTTAAATAAGTGAATCTCAATGGTCATAAGATGGTTAGTGATTAATTAATTATCATCTGTTTGTCACGTCATGTGAAATTCATTAATTGATTGAATCCTGCTCATGATCCTGAAGTTTTTAATTACTCATCTGGATATTTACTTAAACATTTGTCTAAGCCTGACTGTTACATTATTATGAATTCTATTCGATTACGATATTAGGAAACCAAGTAAAGATAAAAATATTCGTATCCAGTTTACATTTATTCCGTATTTATGTCCTCCTCAAACGTTACTCCGAATTATGTGTCCTTATTCAAAATGCATGTTGTCACTTAGTCTCTTCAACGATCGAAACGGTAGCATTCGTCTCTAGGACAAAAACGAAAACTACCAAATCATACAGTTTTATATAGTAAGTTTGGTATCATATTAATGCTATCCCATCAAAATGACCAGAAAAAAAATATTTAAATATTACATTTCATAACATCATAATAAATTTACGTCATTCGTAAAATGGAGGTCTTCTATATCATCATTTTAAAGAAATTTGTTTCTGTATGAATTTTTTTCTTAAATTATGAAGTAAGTTATTGTAGTAAGTTATGAGTTAAAAATTATATAAATGAATTTAGTTTTTATTGTAATAATTTATATTATAATGAATTCTCTGAACAGAGATTAACTTCACCTGTTAATAAAAATTAGATTAAGTTTTAGATACTTTGTTTATAGATCACTTTTTAATAAATATTCACCATTTAACAATGTTAATAAATAATTGAATCCTTAGCATATCCTTACTTACGTCAGTGCTTTATCTTACATAAAAAGCTAAGAGCATCCAAATTAATTCAGCAGAAAATACGTATAATAGGTATTTTAAATAGGGTGTTTCAAAAGGAATACTTCGGAAGGTGAATGTGTACAGTCAGTATAATTAAAAGTTTGTGAAATAATGATTTATTAATATTAACAAAGATACAAGCGGAATATTTTACAATTGATATGGCTAAGTGTTAATGTAGCAGCTATTGTTGCACAAAACTGATGACGATCCGCGACAGTATGGAATGGTGTCATCAGTTCTCGACGGCTTAACATTTTAAGCATGCCTTACTAAACCGTGTGTGCTTTTTCGAAGTATGTCTCTATCCTTTTTGATAAATTCAGCAGAATTTTCATTTGGACAGTAAGTTGATTACTAGAGTATACCTTCTCTCGATATATCTCATCATTCACCAACTCTATACACAGTAGTCGAACCGAGTTAGATCCTAAAACCAAGGAGGAGCAGGATCTATGAAAATGATCTTGGTACATCTACTGACGTTTGTGCATTTTTCTCACATACTATTCATTTCCGGAGCCCTCATGAACTTCTCTACTCCCGTCGTAAGCAATCATTCTGTATTGATAGACCCTGTACAAGTAAGTTAAGATTTGTTTCATACTAATGACAGTATTTTTTAAATTTCTTAATTAAATAAAGTTATTTATCCTAAATATACAAAATATTTTATAAAATATTCGAATCTTCCAATAAATCATACCTTAAAGATTTAATAAATTTGGAAAATTCGAATTCATATCTTAAGCAAAAAATATAGGAAGAATCATGTAGACTACAGAATACTTCAATCACATACTCCACTAGATTCATTTCATATGAATACATTTTTTCAATTTTGATAAGGAGTATAAAATGTATTAGCTTTATTTGATCCAGCAGAATCTAATTGAATTCGTTCTGGTTCTTTGGTATAAAATACTTCTTAAATCTCCTGAATTATGACATACAACAGAAAAATCAATAATCTTAAAATATGAAGACACCGATGGAAGAAAATTGTAACATAAATATAATTATCAATGAATATATTTTAATTTATTTACATATCATCATTAAACTTTTAAGAATTCAAAAAAAAAAAAATTTTAAACATTCCACCCCTGATCATCAAATATTTAATTATATAATTAAGTTATAAATAAATCTTTAATACCCTTTTACACTACTTAATTTATTATTTTTAAGATGTTATTTCTACTAAAAATCGAAGGTTTTTAGTAAATATTCGAGTGTGAAGATTATTCAAATTATTATGGTTATTGAATATAAAATCTGTGGATGGAATTTCTCAGATTTTGGATACAGTTAAGCCCACTGTAGTAAAATTGTAGTAGATATATACACTTATGGATGATAGAACTGATTCTCCTGAAACTCTCATCTTACTTATTACATTTTACAGTAGAAAATAGAGACGAAGGCCTATAAAAACAGCCCACATACCATTCAATTGAAGAATGTATAAATAAATTCACAAGGAATTTTTGAAGTTACGGATGAGAAAATTTATTTTACCTAGCACATGATGTACTATGTTAAGAATGTAGATTTTACATTCGAAATAGTAAAAAAAATAATTATATTTATAAAACATAAAAAGATTATTATTTAAATTTATTTATTTGAATCTATAATCAAAATTAAGTGAAAAAAATTATACTGAAATATCGTAAATGTACTTAGACTTTCATGTGGCTCCATCTCGTATTAAATAAATAACCATTTATCTAATTATCATTATTTAAATTATTAATTAAATGTAACTAAATATGTTACATTTTCAAAAATTAAAAAAGAATTTTGATGAATATTTTAAATCTAATTTAAATAAATTTAATTAGTTTACATAAAAATGTTACATTTTTAAATGAAACTATCGACTGGCGCCACCTGTTATAACATTGAGAAGTTATATTTTTAAAATTCATTTTAAATAAATATTTTCTTACTTAAAATATAATAAATAATAATAATAACAATAATGTTATCAATACGTTTCAATTTTTTTTTGTTTTGCATAAAACTTTCCAGAAAAGACATTTTACATTTAGTCT